AAAAAAAAAAAAAAGAAAGAAAGAAATGGAATGGAATGTTGGACAAGTAGAGCAGAGGTGCCTGTCTGGCTATTATGAAGATGACAGGTCTCATGGGGTTTACTGAGGAACTTACCATGTTGCTTGTCCCCACTGTAGGGGACCCAAAGGTGCCAGTGCTGTACCAGGTGGAGCGGACACGAACAGGGAGAAGCTTCTCAGTGCGCTCCGTGAGGGCCGTGCAACATGGCAAACCCATCTTCATCTTCCAAGCCTCCTTCCAGAAGGTGCAGCCCAGCCCTGTACAGCACCAGTTCTCTATGCCCACTGTGCCTCCCCCAGAAAAGCTGCTTGACCACCAGAGCCTCATTGATCAGTATTTAAGGTGAGACATGGGCTCCCGTGCAGTCCTGTCTTGTCCTGGCTTCTCTTCTTTCCTTCTTTCTTTCATGATCCTGGGGGTCGAACCCAGGGCCTTTGAACTGAGCTATATCTCCAGCCACTCTTTTTTTTTTTTAATATTAATTTTGGGACAGGATCTTGCTAAGTCTCTGTGTTGCCCAGGCTGAACAAGAACTTGTGATCCTCCTGCTTCAGCCTACCAAAGTGCTGGGATTATAGGCATTTACCATGTCCAGCTCAGGGAAGTGTGTTCAAACTGTGGTTGCCTCCTATTAGTGAGTCACAGAGTTTTTTAGTGTGTGGCCGTGCATTTAAAAATATAAACTAGAGGGCTGGGGATTTAGCTCAGTGGTTTCGCCACCTGCTGTGCAAGCGCAAAGACCTGAGTTCGATCCCCAGTACCAAAAAAAAAAAAAAAAAAAAGAAAGAAAAATATGAACTAGAGGGCTGGGGATTTAGCTTAGTGGTTCCAATGCCTGCCTTGCAAGCACAAGGTCCCGAGTTTGATCCCCAGTACCAAAAAAATACATATATATATATATATATATATATATATATAAACTAGGATGACTGAAGGTGTAGCTCAGTGTTAGCGTGGGTGCTTAGCATACACAAGACTGTAGATTTACATATATGAAAAGAAGATGTTGGAGTGTATCGTACGTAACGAGAGTAAGAATCCTTTTGTGAAACTTTCAGTTATGTTTCTGGTTAGTGTGAGCAGGTGTGCATGTGTGTGTCTGTTGGTTATGATATAAAATGCAGAGCTTATAGGCATTGTTTAGAATAGGCATCTTTTTTTTTTTAAATGGTAACAAAGTTTTATTAGAGGTTCGTAAAGAAACAGGCACTGCAGAGTGGGTTCGGGCCATGTAAAAGTGGGAAAAGCAGTGCACCCTACAGCATGAAGCCACTGTGCAAGCGTGAACACAGTGCCAGTACAGGCATTCTTACAGCTGTATTGGCTGTTAAAACATTGAACTAGTTCTATAATCACTTGTAAATAGCCACCTGTCCAGTCTTCTGAGTGGCTCATACCCTTCGGCTTCAGGCCCATACTCCAGCAGCTTCAGAGTGGATGCCTGGCAGGGGTGAGTGTCCTCTAGGATCCTGCTGCAGAGGTGTGGCCCACTGACTGGGCTTTACCTTAGCCTTAGCGCATGTTAAATATCACTGTCACCCTGTAAGATGTATTTCTGACTCGCAGCCAATAAAGTTTGAAAAGTGCTGATGCACAAGAAGTTCTGGATCCAGGTACAGGACAGACACCTGGATTCTGGCCAGGGTACAGCCTCTGTTAGCATTTATCTGCTGTGGGACTTTGCCCAACTACCCAGTATCTCAAGGCCCTAGATTCTTCATCTTAAAAATGGAGGTGTTCATTTTTGTCTGCTTACTTTCTAGCTGCATCATGGGAAAGATTCTCTAGTGCAGGACACCAGGGAGGCAGCAGGGTATGTGGGATGCATATGGATTTGGCAGCCTGAATGGCCAAAATTAAAATATAGACTGTCCCTACTAGCTGGCTGAATTTGGGCATGTTGCTTGCCCACTCTGAACCCATGCTTTTGGTTGTAAAATAGTGCTAATTCCTACCTTATAAGATTGCTATGATGGTTAAATGAGATAAGAGGTATAAGGTATTTAGTGGGTGCTCTACAATGTTTTTTTTAAACTTTTTTGAGACAGGCTGGTCTTGAACTCACTGTGTGGCCCAGGCTGGCCTTGAACTCACAGCAATCCTCCTGCCTCAACCTCCGAAGTGCTGGATTTACAGGTGTATGCCACCACACCTAACTATGTACCATTATTATTATTATTTTTATGTACCATTATTAACAGAAGAATAAGGATGGGGCCAAATATATAATTAGAAGTCAACAAATTTTTGCAGAAATGAAAGGGAGACATTGTTGAAGGACCTTGAATTTAGAGCTGAGCTGTTCAGCAAGGTAGCCACTAGCTACTTAATTTAAATGAAAGAGAATGGACAAGTCTTTTCTTCATTTGCATTAGCCACATTTCAGTGTGGTTAGCAGCTGCCACAGTGGCCAGTGCAGATAAACAATCCCCCATCACAGAAGGTTCTGCAAGGGGCAGGGTGAAAATGTCAGTCCCCGCAAGGAACATTAAGGGTGGTGGTTCCCTGGAAATGAGTGCTTCCTTCCAGGGACATGGTGCTCCCTGCTGCTTAGGGCTTGGTCACTCAGTCCAAGTTGGGCAGCTGTTTGTTTGAATGGTTAGAAAAATGAAACAGTTAAGTGCTATGAACTGTGGAAATAGACTGCCTGAGTCCAGATCCTACCTTTTCCACTCTTTGAACAAGCTACTCGGATTGTCTGTGCATATTTCAGTCATCTAATGGTGTGATAACAGTACCTATGCCATGAGATTATTATGAAGAATGAGTTATTATTGTGTATGCAGTGCCAGGAACAGGGCATATTGTCAGATGTTGTGCTACTATGATGTGTTGGTTTTGTATGCATTATCTTGTCTTTTCCACAATGCTCTTTATGACATAGATTACTGTTATTATCTACATTTTGCAAAAAGGAAAATAGGCTCAGAGAAATTACTAACTTGCACAAAGACACGACTTACAAGTGGCAAGGAAGGGATTCAAACACCATGCCATGCTGCCTGCCACACGGGCGGAGAGGAAGAAGCTTTGGAAGAATAAGGGGGTGTCAGAAGAGGCAGCACAAGTGAGATGAGAAGCTCCGCTTCTCCCCTGATCTTCCTGTCCCTCTCCCCTTTACTTTTCAGGGACCCTAACCTCCAAGAGAAGTACCGCGTGGGGCTCAACCGCATTGCTGCCCAAGAGGTACCCATTGAGATCAAGCTGGTAAACCCACCCATGATGGGCCAGTTTTGGAAAATGGAGCCCAAACAGATGTTCTGGGTGCGGGCCCGGGGCTATATTGGTAAGAGGACCCAGGGATTGGAGAAAACATACCCTAAGGGTCTAGTCCTGCCACGAATTTGCCTGTGTGGCCGAATTTGCCTGTGTGGCCGTGGCTGTGCTGGTTCTTCTCTCTGTGCCTGTTTCCTTATCTGCATGATGAGGAAGTTGGAGAGGCTTCTCACTAGGGCCCTCTTGCGAGCCCTTTGTATGGGGACAGTAGGGAGATGATTTAATCCCAACATAGGACCTTTCTGGGGTAGGGAAGGCAGTTTGCTGAGGTTCTCCTCCGGGCCTGTAGCTAATCACTGAGCCTGTACCCTCGGTTATAAAATGGTATTGGAAGAAGATAACCTGCTCCAGGACTGGGGCAGGGTGGGGAGACTTGGGAGGACTAGTCCTCATTCACCTCTGCCTTTCCCCTTCTCCATCTCCCTTAGCCTTTCACACATATACCCTGGGCCAGATGACGCTTGGCACGTCTGTGCACGGCAGTCTCTTTCTCCCCAAGCTGACTGCAGTCCTGAGCTGTGCAACCCAGGACCCCAGGGCTGATGGGGCTGGGGCCTGTTGCAGGGGAGGGCGACATCAAGATGCACTGCTGTGTGGCTGCTTATATCTCCGACTATGCCTTCCTGGGCACGGCGCTGCTGCCCCACCAGTGGAAGTATAAGGTGCACTTCGTGGCCTCCCTGGACCACTCCATGTGGTTCCATGCCCCCTTCCGAGCTGACCACTGGATGCTCTACGAGTGCGAGAGCCCCTGGGCTGGTGAGTGTGGGGCTCTGTGGGTCAAGGGCACTGACCTGGGGGGTGGCAGGGAGCCTACTTTCCTGGGTGATGCTGCCACCTTCCTGCTTCCTGGGGAGCACTGCACAGGTCACTTCCTCTCTTGCCTCTATAGGCTTTGGCATTCTCATCTTCAAAATGACAGTGATACTTAAAGACAGGATACTTGCTCAGCTCACTTTTTTTTTGGAACTCAGGTCCTTCCCCTTCAGGTCACTTTTATAACCTGGGGAAATATGACTCACTATCTCAGAGACCCAGTTCTAGTTCCCAGATCACTTCTGATTTTTTTGTTAGTAGGGATGGAACTCGGGTCCTTGCGGTTGCAGGGCAGGTGGCGGAACCACTGAGCTAAATCCCTGGCCCCACTTCTGATTTTTTATGTGATCTTGAGCAAATCCTGTCTTTCCTCTAAGCCTACTTTCTCATTTGAATGAATAGCATTTTACAGTATTAAAGCAGCAGAGCCTAAACCTGGTAACCCAGCAGACTGCCACTTGCAGGTGCTTTTTCAAAATAGATTCTGTTTCCACCTCCAAGATTCTGGCTTGGCAGGTCTTGGATAAGGTCTAGAAAACTATTTTTAAGAAGCTTCCCAAGTGCTGATTACCATGGTTAGGGGTCAGGACACTCCATGGTCTCTTAAGGACACTCCTTGTAGGGGACAGAGAGAAGCCCAAACTCATTAATGTGTAGCTTCAGAACCCTGGGTTCCTTTCCAAGGAAGTACATTTCAAAGGAAAAGCTCTGCTGTACAAAACAGGGGCAAAACCTAGAAGACTCTTTATACTCGGAAAAGGGGTATCCTCAAGTGCACATAGCATCACAATACAAGATTAACAACCTTGAAAGTTTAGGCAGATCCTTGGAGCCAAGTTCCTGAGCCTCTTTGGACTTCAGTGTCATTGTCTGGAAAACAAGATAAGTGAAGCCAAATTCCTCTGGGTAGTGTGAGCATGTACGGGGTATCTATAGGGAAATGAGCATCTCTTCATGAACATCAAACTCAGGCCTAAAGCCAGCAAAGGAAGAGCCTCCAGTGGGGACAGAGTGGAGGCCAGAGCCCAAATGGTCTCAGGTCCTCTCCCCCTGAGTCCTTCCCCTTTGTGGTGGAATTCTTGTTTTTCAAGAATTTCCAGCCTAGAGGACTTGGTCTGATTTATTATAAAAGGGATTTCCTAACGTATGTGGCCAGAGGTGTAGCAGTCTGCTCGCCCAGGATATTAGACTGTTCTCAGCGTTCCTCCCTGTCATCTTTTTGAGGAAGTGAACGAGTGTGTGAAAGTGCTTTTACACTGTCAAGTGGGGTTCCTATGGGAGGAGTCAACCCAGTGAGTGTCGGGAACAAGTTCATAAAAGGGTCCTTGGAGCCTTAGGGCAACCGCAGCTTTCAGTGTGTCCTTCTGTGAGGCAGCCCTGCCCTGGGCCACACCCTCTGCAGGCGGCACACATGGTTGTGCTGAAGCAGAGAAGGGCTAGCCTCACCCTTCTCTTCCCCCACAGGTGGCTCTCGAGGGCTGGTCCATGGGCGACTGTGGCGTCAGGACGGGGTTCTGGCTGTCTCCTGTGCCCAGGAGGGTGTAATCCGAGTAAAGCCCCGGCTCTCAGGGAGCAAGCTGTAGCCAGAGGCACCATCCTGGCCTGAGGCTTCAAGAATCTCCCTTCTGCACCATTCCAGAGGCGGGAAATACAGTCAAGGGCTGGGCCTTTGGCCTTCACATCCAATAAAGAGACTGGTAGCACCGGAGTGGGTGGCCTTTAATTCCCCTGGCCCAGAACTGCAGCCCTCCCTCCATCTCTCATCTCCAAGACTATAGTCACAGGCCCTGGCCTTTTAGCCATACTGCCTCACTGGCTTGGAGGCCCATGGAAAAGGGAGCATGGCTCCTGCCCAGGCCTGCAGTCCCTGGTTGTGTAAAAGCTGTGGAGAGGCTGTGTCACATTTCCTTCCTGTACAGCCCTGGGCAACCCCAGCCAAAGCTCGTCCTGAGTCCAGCTCAACAGAATGAAATTCTGCACATTTTCTTTGTGGAACATCTAGGGGGCTCCCAGCACCCCCTGCAGCCTCCTAGCTGCTCTTGGCGTCTTTGTCACACCCCTTCCCAGTTTTAGGCAGTCCCTCTCCCCGTGGTGGCCTTAAGACTGAGCAAGAGTTAGTCTAGCACCTCCTTGATGAGCAATTCTTTGAGACTGGGCGGTGGCGTGGGGGCAAGGCCTGCCTCCTGCAGGGCCTGGAGCCGGGCCTCTGATTGTCGTTTGTCTAGGCCCAGGCGCCAAGAGAGCCGGACATGAGCCTCTAGAAAAGGTGCCAAGAAAGGCTGGGGACTCCTGTCTTTCAGCAGCTGTAGGGCCTTTTCACAGCATGCCCGGGCCTGCCCTGGGTCCTCCAGCTCCTGGTGGCACACAGCCAGTCCAGCCAGGGTCAGCAGGGGGCGGTCGGGGCCAGAGGAGGTCCCCAGCTGGGCCTGCAACTGCCAGGCATTGGCCCAGAGTGCCAGAGCCTCACGATAGAGGCCAGTACAGGTGAGGCTCTGTGCTCGCCGCAGCTCTGGCAGCACAAAAAAGTCCTGCAGGTCTGGGGCATGGCTTAGCTCAGGCACTGCCTGCAGGTGGCCCAAAAACTGCTCAAAGGCTCGGCTACGGCGGGCAATGGTCTCTGCCGTAAAATTCCGGCGTAGGCGCTTGCGGGGGAAGGAGATGGCAGCCATGGGGCCCCGGAACTGCCGTTGCAGGTTTCGGTGCAGTCGCTCAAAGTCTGAGTACCGGCGAGAGATCTGGGCTGGCTGGCGATCTGGTGGCCCCGGGCCCATCACGGTGAGGGTGTAGAGCTGCAGGGAAGGTGGGTGTCAGGGAAGAGGGAAGTGCAGGTGGGCCATGGATCCTTTCCCTCTTTCCCTCCACACTCCCAGCTCTGCTCTCCTCCCTGGGGAGGGGGCCCAGAAGGGTAGGAGCTGCTGGGGCAGGGCTAGGGAGCCCATTCCCATCTTACCTGAGGTGCCTCTGAAATGCCCCAGGCCCAGTGCAGCACAGGAAGGAAAGACAGATAAGATTCAGTGCCAGAGACTGCTGTCTCTATTGCCCCTTCTGGGAAGTTCTTCCTTCCCATAAAGGAGTTGGTTCTTCTGAAGGCCCTTCTGGAAAACCAGGGGTAAGCCGAATCCCAGACCAATTTCTGGGGCCTCTGAGCTAACCTGAGAGCTAGCCTGGAGCCATTCCATTCTAGACTCACAGCCACACCACAGGCTGGTTCAGCCAGTCGACCAGACCAGAGGACAGGTCTTCAGAGAGCCCGAGTAAGACTCAATTTGAGGGCTGGGGATTTAGCTCAGTGGTGCTGCGCCTGCCTTGCAAGCACAAGGTCCTAAGTTCCATCCCCGGTACCAAAAAAAAAAAAAGTCAATTTGAGTTCACTGTCCAGGACTCAGTTTGACCCCAGGTCAGTCAGCTTCTCCATCTTTGTGACCTCAAGCAAAACAGTCTGCTCTGTTAGCAGGTGTTGGTACCTGAAGTTTTTTGTTTGTTTTGTTTTTATGAGACAGGATCTCACTATGTTGTTCAGGGTGGCCTTGAACTCCTGGCAATCCTCCTGCCTCAGCCTCCTGAATGCTGGAATTATAGGTGCATGCCACCATGCCTGGCCTCTGGCTTCTTTTTTAATCTGATCATAAATTGAGAACCTTTCAGTTTGGTTTTAAATAAACACTTCTCTTCACACTTCTCATCTCCATTTTTAGAAAAGGGCCAGAGAGTGAATCTCAGGTCACTGCCTTCTTGAAGCCACAGCATCTAGGCAGAATTGAATGACATTTTCATTTTCACTGTTTTTACTTTCATGGTCAGCTTCTCTTTATGGCAAGTGAGGCTTTCCACATACAGTAGTGCTGTAAAGTTGGCATGTATGTATGGATGGATGTATGTATTTGAGACAGAGTCCCCATGTGGTTCAGGTTGGCCTTGAACTCACTGTTATGAAGCTCAGACCAGCTTCGAACTCATGGTGATCCTCCTGTTTCAGTCTCCCAAGTGCTGGGATTACAGCTATGCACCACCATGTCTGGCTATAAAGTTGGCTTTTAAACTTAAGAAAAAAAGGGTTTGTGAAAAATGTTGAGAATGGTACCAGTAGCATTTTAGGGTAGATAATAATTGTGAGAGAGATACTGGAGTGACAGGTTTGTGAAATACTGAACAAGACGTCCACTCAGCTTCTGTCTAGGCTGGAGAACCTGAACGTGGATTATTCCTGCCTGAGGAGGATTCTGCTGAGCCAACAGGTTTAAAGGGGAGTTAGAGGGTTTTACATGTTAAAGGGATACAAACACCTAACCCAGGGTTTTCTCTCTTAATTTATTCTAACATTAGAATCCTGGTCAATTAGATTTGCCTATTTCCTTCCTTCCTTTTTTTTTTTTTTTGCAGTACTAGAGATTAAACCTAAGACCTTCACACAGAGCTACATTCCCAACTCTTTTTTCATTTTGACACAGGGTCTGTTAGGTCACTAAATTGCCCAGACTGGGTCTGAACCTCAGCTTCCCAGAGTGCTGGGAGTACAGGCATGTGCCACCACACTTGGCTAGCTGTGCCTGCTTTATCCTTATCTGGTAGACTCACAGTGTACATTTTCATTCATTCATTAATTAATTAATGAATTAAAATGTATTTTTTTTCATTTTATCATTTATTTACTTTTTTGGTACCGGGGATTGAACTCAGGACCTTGTGCTTTCCAGGCAGGCAGCAGAACCACTGAGCTAAATCCCTGGCCCTATTTTATTTATTTTTTGAGAAGGGGTCTCACTAAGTAGTTAAGATTGAACTTGAACTCACTATGCAGCCCACGCTGGCCTCCAACTCCTGGCAATCTTCCTGCTTCAGCCTCCCCAGTGCTGGGATTATAGGCATGCACCACCATGCCCAGCTAGCTTTTATTTTTTTAGCAAAGATCCGTTTCACATATATTATTTCATCTGATCCTTGCAGTGTCCCACCAAGATAGGTGATAATGATAGTAGTTTTATCAACTGAGCACTTACCCTGTGCCTTGTGCCCCACCCAGTACTTTTCTTGCTATTATTTCATTTAATCATCGGATTAGCACTGCAAGAAAGTGTCCTTATCTTTTGTCAGCTGAGGAAGCAGGGTCAAAGAAGGGGTAAAGGACTCAAAGACTTGCCTGAAATCGCATAGCTGGTCAGTGGCCTAGCTGGGATGCAAACACAGGTCGATCTGATCCCAAAACTTGTGCTCTTCACCCTCCAGAGAGTCATATGGAGACTCAGGGTCCCCCTGTACAGAGGTGATTTGCTTCTCCAGACAAAGGCAGGGCATAATAGGCCATCCTTGCCATTTCCTTCCCATCTGGGTCCCCAGAGTCACCTCCATTCCCTCCTACCTTGGAGCTGCTCCTCGGTGACCAATCCCTGGTGTCCCTTTCCTGTGCATAACCCTTTACCTACCCTCGAGCTCTGGGACATTTGCCACTCAAGAATGGCTCATCTAGGGCCAGGGATTTAGCTCAGTGGTGTCGCCGCCTGCCTTGCAAGCGCAAGGTCCCAAGTTCGATCCCCGGTACCAAAAAACCCCCCAAAAGAATGGCTCATCTGGGGCTGGGATATAGCTCAATGGTGGAATGAATACTTGGCACACATGGAGACTGGGGTTCAATCTCCAGCACAGGAAAAAAAACCCTCAAAACTGGATCATCAGAATCAAACTGGAGCAGTCACCCCATGGGTGTGGGCCTTGTTACACCAACAGAGAAGGGTGGAGAGGCCCAAATATGGGCCAAGGCTCCAGGCACCCTTCCTGCTGAGTCCGAGGTGGAGGAGGGCCGTGATGAGGAGCAAGGACACTTGCCAGCACAGCTGGGTTTCGGGCCCAGAAGGGAGCAGGACCTGGCAGACTTCATTTTCCCTAACAGTCTCTTCCCTCTACAGCAAGGAAAATGGATTCCGAGGCCCTCCCGTGTAATGTTCTTCACCCTTATCCCTACCAAATCCCCAAAGTCTAGCCCTTTAGAGCAGTGCTGCTCTGTACAGGCACAGTGCTACAAAAGTAATTCACCTAGGTTACAAGGAGGCCACAGCAGTTTCTAGACCAGTGATGGCAAACCCTTTAGGGCTTTCAATGATACAAACAGCCCGCTGTGGCTTGCGTGCCATAGGTTCATCACCCACTGCTCTAGATGTCTGACATTTCCAAATGAAATTTAAATAAAAATAGTATGTTAAATAACAATGTATAATATTATGAAATATGGTAATTATTTTTATCTTTTTGAAAAAGAATGCAAAAATGTAGCCAGGAGAAAATAAGAAATTGCTATGATCCTAGTACCATCATTAACTGCCTAATATTTGTTGAGTACTTATTTTTTATTGGTATATACTTGCAATATATGATAATTATGTTAGTTTTGGGTAATTGATACATAAATAAAATGTCTTGATCATGTATTTTGGGGTTTTTTTGGTACTGGGGATCGAACTTGGGTCCTCGTGCTTGCGCAGCAGGTGGCAGAACCACTGAGCTAAATCCCCAGCCCTTGATCATGTGTTTCGTTTAATCTCTTTCAATAACTTTGGGAGTATAAACTATTATAAATCCCATTTGTTAATTAAGAAATAGGCACAAAACAAAAATGAATTGTGCAAGATGGTACAACTAAACCATAAAAGGAATTTAAGCTCTAAAAACCTGATTTCCAGGGCCTGGGATTTAGCTCAGTGGTTCCAGCATCTGCCTCAAAAGCACAAGGTCCTGAGTTTGATCCCCGGTACCAAAAAAAAAAAAAACTAACCCTGATTTCCAGAATCCCTGTAATTAGCCATCATATTGTATCTTGCCTGAGCCTTGACCGTTAACATTTTCGTATTCTCCCTTTTCGGTTTCTCTATTCATACACATAAATATTTAAACAAATCACATTGCCATATATATGTAGGTAAATAGATAAAATTTTATTTTCTATTTATTTAATGGTTATCCTGAAATCTTCCATGTTACTAAATTTTTTGAAAATACAATTTTCAGAGTGTATATTCTATAATGTGGCTAAACCACAACTTATGTAATCATTCTAAGTGGGCATCTAGACAACTTCCTCTTTTAGTTAATATTTATGCTCCTGAATCTACAGTACTTGCAGATAAATCTTTGTTTACTTTTCTTATTATATGTTTAGCAATTACTTTGTCACAGATATGTACATTTTTAAATTATCTTACATTTGTGAAATTATTACCAAATTGTCCTCTGGAATTGGTATTCCCCCCATAGCGGTATGTAAGATTATTTTCCTATAAATTCTTGTCACCATTGCCAAAGGCTTAACTCTTTTCAGTTTGGTACATACAGAGAATTTATAATTCTGATTTAAAATTTTTTTGAGAGTGGCATTTTATAGATTAATAAAAATAAGCTAATTCAGAAAAAAAAATAATACAGATTGGGCCGAGGATTTAGCTCAGTGGTGCCTCACCTGCCTTGCAAGAACAAAGTCCTGAGTTCAATCCCCGGTACTGGAAAATAAATAAATTAATGAATAAATAAATAAAACAGGTTGAGTATCCCTTATCCAAAATGTTTGGGACCAGAAATGTTTCCGATTTTGGATTTTGGAATCTGCAGGTACACAGTGCAGATAATGAGATACCTTAGGGATGGGACCCAAGTTCCAGATGTACTTATATACATATAGCCTAAAGCTAATTAGTGTGTGGGTCGGGGGGTTGAGGGTTGAACCCAGGGTCTATCTAAACTACTGCATTCTTTTTTGGTACTGGGAAGCACCACTGAGCTACATCCCCGGCCCTAAACTACTGCATTTTGACTCCCACCAATCACATGAAGTAAGGTGTGACATTTTCCATTTATAGCATCATATCAATATTTATCAAGTTTCAGCTGGGCATGGTGGCATAGGCCTATAATCTCAGCACTCGAGAGGCTGAGGCAGGAGGATCACTGTGAGTTCAAGGCCAGCCTAGGCTACATAGCGAGTTCAGAGCCATCCTGAACTACAAAGCAAGACCCTGTCTCAAAAAAAAAAAAAAAAATTATCAAGTTTCAGATTTTGGAGCATTTAAGATTAGGATGTTGAATCTGTATAGCTAACATTGTGTTTGTGGTACTAGAGATGGAACCCAGGGCAAGAGCTCTACCACTGAGCTACATTCCCAGTCCTATTGAGCACCTCATAATGCCAGGCACCATGCTAAGGGCTCTGTGCACCGTCTCGTTTAACTCCTGCTATAATCCTCTGCATTATACTCATTGCTCAGTTGTGGAAACTGGGAGCCATCAAAATTACATAACTCACCTAAGGTCAAACAACTGGTAATAATAAGTGGTATGTGACTCAAGGCTAATCTGGATCTACAGCACATTTCTGTAGCTACTAACCCATGCAACTGGGTCTCAAATCTGTCCTTTGCAACAGTGTGCAAAAAACCTGGGATGAGGGAAAGCACACATACTAGTTTCTCTTAAGTCTAAAAAGCAGGATAGGAGTCAGATCCTTAATCTCCATTTTACTCAGTCTCAGACAAACTAAGTCATTTGCCTGAGGAACAACTGAGGTTAAATCCCCTTTCTGGCCCCAGCTTTCCTATGTGTAAAATAAGGCAGCCATTTATAACTGCACGGCCAGAACCTGCAGGAAGTTGGAAGTCTTCGTTGGTTTCCTTTTTTTTTGGTACCGGGGATTGAACCCGGGTCCTTGCGCTTGTGCAGCAGGCAGCGAAACCACATCCCCAGCCCTCCTTGTTTTCTTTTAGCCAGACTTCTAGACTCACAGCCTCGGGGGTTCTCGGGACCTCACTCACCACGTACTTGGAGGGTGGGTCCTTGACAACACTGGCACTGGTCACCTCAAAGAGCAGCCGCTGGGGTACCAGGGTGTTTCGGGACTTCTTCCAGAAATCCTGCAGCTGCCGGGCCAGGAGTTGACTGCCCCGCTGCCCATCAGGTGGGGGACTCCGTTCTGCACAAGCACATGGCAGGTCATATCAAGGAACTTAGAGCCAGGGGCAACATAAACCATGCGCCATGACCTCATTCACGTGAGGTGGGCCGTATCCCCATTTTACAGAAATGAGCGCTGAGGGCTAGAGACTGGTGCCAAACACAGTGTCTGGCAGATTGTGGGCACTAAGTATCTCCACCCCCAAAACATGCCAGCACATCATTAGCACATATTTGTGTCCCAGGTCCTGTGAATTTAATACCAGCAAAAACTGAGATGGAAGTGATTTCTCCCATTTGATACAAGGGAAAACTTGGCTCAGAGGGGTGCTGTCACTCTTAAGGTCACACAGCCAAGACGTGGCTGGAGGCGCTTAAAGAAGTGTCAAGAGTTTCAGCCGGATCAACTCGGGACACCCAAGATGCTCTCGGAATGCGGCTGGGATGGAGGCCTAGCCGAACCCCAAGGTTCCCGTCTCCGTTCTCCCGCACTCGCCTGCGTCTTCTCCCGATGCCCCGTCGCCAGGGGGCAGCGAGTCGGGGCCGTCCTCGTCCTCGTCGTCGTCGTCCTCATTGTCCTCAGCGCTGGTGAAGCTGAGGGTGCCGCTGAGGCGGGAGGACAGGCCCTCGGCGTCGTCGTCCTCCAGCTCGGAGCTTTCGGGGAACTGCTCGGCCTCGGGGTCAGCCGCCGCCTCTCCCGGGCTATCGCTGGCCAGGGCGTG